CACAAGCGCGTCCAATCTTCCAAAATTTCCTCACAAAGACACAAACAAAGAAGATTTAGTTCGAATTTAGTAAACTTTAATACGTGGAAGTTATTAGGCGGATCAATATAGGACTCTTTGGTCAAGTTTCTGGAAATTAAGTAGTAATTTGATGTGGTGACGAGAGTGATGCCAGCGGGGGAGTAATTGATCGCTGGCCATGAGACATTTCAGCATCACGCATCACCACATGACATCACATTTTGTTATAAGTCATCACATTGTCATCACATTATCATCACAGTGTCATCACATTGTCGTCACATCTTCATCACATTGTCATCTCATTGTCTTCACATTGTCATCACATTACCATCAGTGTCATTACATTGTCGTCACAGCGTAATCACAACAATAAACATGAATGACATCACATCGGCTCATCACCTCACGCGGCAGTTCAGAATACATTCAACTCTATATCACACAAAACATCAATATATTAATCATAAATATAATTTACATTAAATTCTTCAAAAGCCACTGCGATGTCGTAAGGTTCATTATAAACCAGCAATCATGTAGACCCAGTGGCGGTATTCTCATCCTAGTAGTATCATATTTACACCATCATTTAAACAATGCTCTTACATTTTCTTTACAATTCTTTTAGGAATGTCAAGCTCAAGAGAAAATATTCGCTTTCCAGGAACATAAAAAATAAATAATAATTGACAGCAGAGAGAAATTTGTTGCAGAAGTATAAACGCTTGTTTTTTTTTTTTTTNCCAGCAATCATATAGACCCAGTGGCGGTATTCTCATCCTAGTAGTATAATATTTACACCATCATTTAAAGAAAGTTTTTACATCTTTTTTACAATTCTTTTAGGAATGTCAAGCTTAAGAAAAAATATTCGCTTACCAGGAATATAAAAAATAAATAATAATTAACAGCAGAGAGAAATTTGATGCAGAAGCATGAACGCTTTTTTTTTGGTACGTATCCGCCGCGCCACTATAATCTCGGAGCACAAAGATAAGGTTACATCAAATCACACGGGTAAGGTTACATTATGGCTGTTATAGAGCATCAAATACTATAGGTCTAACCATGAACAACTGTATGTGTTATTCACCGCGACAATCAACACAGAAGTCCTTGAATCCCGTATGATTTGTGTTGATTTTTCACACGGCGGGGGAAGGCGAGGTGATGATTGTTGTGACGTGATGATTGTTGTGACGTGATGATTGTTGTGACGTGATGATTGTTGTGACGCAAATATTCTCGAAAAAAAGAAGGCTTACAGTATTTTCCCACATTTCAGCCATGCACTCCATTATAATGTTCTCCATTATGCGCATGACGCGCATTCGCCGTCGATTTCTTAACATCTTTAATCGTATTATTTTAATGTCTTCATTTTTTAACGTCTTTTATTATATTTTTTACCTTCGTTGATTTCTTAACATCTTTTATGGTATTTTTTAATGTCGCCGATTTCTTAACATCTTTTATGGTATTTTTTTAATGTCGTCGATTTCTTAACATCTTTTATCGCACAAACGCGCACAAGTGAAATGCGCGTCGCAGTCTGGCGCGACGACGAAAAGATTTCACGGCTGAAAAAGAAACTTCGTGAATTGCCGACTCGTTCATTGAATTATAAGCGGCGTGTGCACTCAGAGCAATGAGCGAGGCTTTGTCCAAATTGAGAAGCTATTTTTTGTCTTTGTGTGTGTCATCCTGACCCAATTGGGCCCGGCAAAAGGGCGTATCAGTGCTACATCCGCTCTCTGCTCGTGGTGTGGGTAAGATAGTGTCACTGTTTGGAGAACATGATTCATAATTTTTTTAGAGTGGACAACGAAGAGTGGCCTACGAAGAGTGGCCAAAGAGTTGCCATCGAAAAATGGCCATCGAATACGAATAGTGGTTAACAAATGGTTGCCAATGAAGAGTGGACAAAGAAGAGCGGGCAACGAAGAGTGGCCTACGAAGAGTGGGCGAAAAGCGACCAAAAAGTTGCCAACGAAAAATGGCCATCGAATACGAATAGTGGACAACAAATAGTTGCCAATGAAGAGTGGACAAAGAAGAGTGGGCAACAAAGAGTGGATACAGAAGAGTGGGCAACAAAGAGTGGCCAACGAAAATTTGACAGCGAAGAGTAGCCATGGTTGTGAAGCGTTCTGCGGACACGACGTTAGCGGTGACTTACGTTATCGCTCGCCACTTTCACTAAACCCGCCATGTCGGCAGCTCGACACTCGCACGTGTACGAAGAAGTTCAGTGCTACGGGGAAAGAAAGCGAATTAGGTACTTAGACCAGCTTTTGGTACTTACGACCCGATTTTGGTACTTACGACCCGCTTTTTGTACTAACGTACTTTTGGTACACTGGTACTTACGACCCGCTTTAGGTACTTAATTACGACCCACTTTTGATACTTACGACCCGCTTTTGGTACTTACGACCAAATTTTTCGTGAAAAATGCGGGTCATATAATGAAGGGAGCTCGTAAGTACCAGAAGCGGGACGTAAGTACCATTTTGAAAACGAAATTTTACAGCGAGTTGAACTAAGTTTCACCTCAGAGCAGGATCGTGAAACAATGGCTGTCTCCGAGTTCTCACGCCCGGGATGACCGAAAGCGCAATCCAGCAAGGTTTTGTAAGAGCATTGCGCAGGTATTGCCTGGGAATCTGCCGGGTATTGCGTCGCCAGGAAGAAGCTCCGCTCATTAAGACTTCGACGAGGTAGACTTGAGAACTGAAACAGGCGTCAATGAAGCCTTTGTGGTTGCAGAACGTGGAATTCTCCACTTAAATAGGTGAACAGAAATGACGTCGCAGAATGTATTGAAATGAAATATATTTAGTATTGCTCGTGCTGAAGACTTTCTGCATTGAAACATACAAGCAATGTTGATCCCCTAGACATTCAGGTGCGAACATTCAACATTTTTTGCACTAGGGGGTTCGACGATCTACTGGAGTTCAAGCAGGTGGTAGCTACCGTAGGTCTGGTATGAAGGTTCAAATTAAATATGATATCGGCTCAATATTGACCTCATGAAAACTTTGCCAAAATTTGTTAGGTGAACAACATAAGACTTCAAAAACGACCATAACACGCAGGACGCTAAGAGCGACCATAACCCATAACACGCAGGACCCTAAGAGCGACCATAACCTGATAGACCCTCGTAGCGATCGGGCGCTCTTGAGCAATGCAATCTTAATTGAGCCCCGGCAAGCCCTTTGAACCCTAAAGGGCTGAAAAAAACTCGCCCCACCGGATCCAGTGAGCGTGGATCACAGGGAGCGCGGGACCGGATTGCATCAGTTATGCCCTCAAGAGGGAAACTTAATCCAATAGAAAACGAAACGCAGCCAAGCAGTGAAAACGCAAGCTTTCTTTTTGACGCGGTTACAGGAAAATTCTGCCAGGTTACAACGTAGCGCTCGACCGTGACAACTTTTTGGCAGAGATCGCACTGAGCGACGTAGAAGTCCGAGTGTGGATTCCTGCGGGGATTAATGCGTGGATTTATTGGTGGATTAATGCGTAGATTCATTGGTGGATTAATGAGTGTATTCATTGGTGGATTAATGCATGATTTATTGGTGGATTAATGCGTGGATTCATCGGTGGATTAATGCGTGGATTTATTGCTGGATTAATGCGTGGATTCATTGGTATATTAATGAGTGGTTTACTTCTTGAATTATATACTGTATGGATAACAGCGTGGTTTCCTGGGTGGATTTTAACACGGATTGCAGCGTTGAGTTTTAGGACATTTTTGCACACATTTCACTCATTAAGCAACGCTTACATTCCCATCTTAACCCACAAATGTGATGTGGATAAGCGTGTCATGTCAGCGCCGCGTCAGCAGCCATTTCGACAGCCTCGGCCACTCACTCAAGTTCTCATTAAATTAACAATCGTTAACCCAAACCAAGGACTGAAGGAGACTAATTAGTTAGCTTGCCTACACAGCAACCACAACCGCGAACGAAACTTCGTAACCGGTGCCAAAATCGCGATTTTTTTATATTTCGGCGTTAAACTTCGTGTGCTTTCTCTATCGGTTTTAGCCGTTGTTTTCGATAAACTCTAGTCGTTGAAATGGAAATCAGTGTCAGGCGGAACGTCCAAATTATATTTTATTTTCGGTCCATAATTGAATCCCCGTTGAAATAATTATAATATTAATATATAATTGAATGTAATATATATTAAATTCAATTGTATATTATATCTATTAATAACATATATAACATATAATTGCATTATTATAATAATTATGTTAACAAATTATTAGCTCCTTTCGCTTTAGGTTAATTACCTTCGGCGGGTTATTGAGTGCTATAGTGCCAGCTTAATTACCTGTTGTAGTGGCAGGTTAATCAACAACTATATCGTCAGGTAAATCAACTGAAATCTTGGCAAGTTAGATAACAGCTATAGGTAACGACTATAGACCTCTTGAAGGTAGGTTGTGTGTAGTGGGGGTGTATCACGTGTATGAAACCAGCAATTCGGGAATATATGTATGTAGAGTATAATAAGTTATAAAAAAATACAATATTCAATACTATAATAATCGAAAGCAACCTAATTATCCTAATAATCATAAGGTAGTGTTTACGCCCTCAGGTACAGCTCATATGGCGCCAGTTTCAATAATAGGTATGAGTCCATAACTCTCAGCCAATCACTGACGACTCATCTAGCTAAATCCACCAATCACAGACGAGAAATTGGCCGCTACGTGTACTTCTGTAATCTGTAAGCAGGGTAGAGTTTTAGGGATGTTGGTTCAGATATCCAAGTACCATCCAACTGGTGGCTTGGAGCTTACTTCGTTTGCAAACATCAGTCTAGAGATGGAGAGAGCTATTCTAGGATCTAGGGAGAATCTGGGCATGTGTACAAATTCGCCCTTCCTTGACTTAAGTTTGGATGGTACGGTTCCAGAAGACAGGAAGCCTAGCAGTACTCACCTGCAAGTTAGTGAAGAGGTGAGTGCAGTTGAAGTCAGCCAGGGCTGGATGTACTCCTACCACTATGTTCTGGTAGCGTCCATGGTCGTCCAACCATACTCGGCTACCACCAACCATCATCAAAACACACTCCACCAGAACTACAAGGATGAGTAACCAATTCCTCATCGTTAAATGTATTCAACTTTACGCCACAAGCATTGGATAATTCAAGGCGGCAGAGCGCACGAAGAAAAACTAACGACGTAATTAGTGCAGCTACCGTTAGTCTCTTGCTCCGTCAGCAACAAATCGAATTTAGTTTCGTCTTGCACTCGGTAGTTCAAGAACCATCGTTAGTCTTGCACTCAGGACTTGAAGAACGATTAAACTAAGTTTAAGTGTGTTACGTGAGAGTTAAAGTGAAGTTTTACTTTATAATCCTAATGTTTAAACATCACCAACGCCTAACAGGTGGTTACTGGGTTTTGCAGCAATAGTACGTGTTAAGACGTCAACGCCTTGACTGGAGCACGCGATATCACAACCTCCCTCACCGGCCACTGCACAGCAACTAACCGCCTTTCTTGGGCCTTGGCTTCTTGCACGCCGGATAGTCAGAGGAAACAACCGCACCGCAAGATTCAGGATTACCTCGTAGTTCAGCTCCTATAACAGGATTATTTGATGCATATCTATGAGTTTAGAAACTGTATTTTGATAAGGAAAATACATAAAAACGAGTTCCTTAAGATCAAATATAAGCACAATACTTTCTGTGTATAATTTGCTTTAATAATCGAAACTGCAGATTTGTTGCAATGTTTCCAAGTCAATTATAAAATTTTCAAAGTACTTGACTGCAAAATGCATTTAACGGAAGAGATTTAGCGAAATTCAAACTTATATTTCTTGCACCGATTGTCTTCGATTTACCATGCAATTGATTATTTTTCGGTTGACTTGACAACACAATTAGTGCAGTAAACATTATATATACAAGAATGTATAGATGTATAAATTGTGTATCAAATAACGTTGATTCTCGTTGGCGTTGAAAAAAATACTTTTCCCACACATTGAGAATTACATTTTGGATTCTAATAATGGTATTCTTAGGTCTTTAATTAAATTTTCATTAAATAAACTTCAGCCAAACTACACGAATATGTCGTTAGTAAACAGTATACACGGATCCAAGTTCGTTTTAGGTACCACAATCGACTCCGTAATGTGTACGCGCTATGCCATATTTATTACGTACGGTACCTTACTGGTTTGCTTCTACGTTACATTTAGATATGAATTTCGCGAGTTTTATAAGCAATCTCTTTGATTTAAATCTCATTGTAGACAAAGCCAGCCTGGCCCTTTGACTACTCAAAGGGCCAGTTTTGTTAGCTTACAAATAATTAATAGAACTTACTGTGGCAGTGATCTGTTAGGCCTTAATAATATAACAATTTTCATAAAAATCTTAAACGTAATACATTCTAATTAATCTAATATGAATCATTCTTAACCTTTTCTTAATGTATTGATGTTATTGTTTTACCTAAGCAAGAGCAGCAACACATGTTCTCTAAGTAAACTAGTCGATATTAAAACTTAGATTTTGTATAATTTCCTGCAGCTTGATAAGAACAATTGAAAAGTTGAACTGTATAACTTAATTTGATTCTATTATTAGTAAACGACTATTACTATTATTAAAATTATTATTATTATTACAATACTCTTTCTTTCCCGAATGCTAAGCAACAAATATGATGACCTGATATTGAACAATATACTGCAGGTTGTGTAGCTGCAGGTCACCTCACAGGGGAGGAGCTTCTGACCAACACCGATGGCTCCGCCCAGCTGCCGCCCACCTGCTACCAGGCTACCAGCAACAATTACCAAAAAAATATAAGTTTTACATGAAAATATTTTTGGCATAAAGTATTACGCATATCCTCTGGTTATTTCCAAGTTGAGAACCAAGTTGAGTCAATCTCCGTTCTAGCGATCACCGTAAAACCATCGTAAAAATTACCATCATCATATAACTTGCAATCATCAAAGTGCTTGCGACCATTGCAAAATTTATGATCATCGTTTAACTTGAACTTGAAATGATCGTAGAACATGTGACAGTCGTATAACACACGACCAGCTTCGAACTTACGATAAGCACAATTATCGCGAATCTCAAGTAGGAAACTTCGACGCTGCTGCGGTACCGATCTCAGCAGGGCTTCAATAAGCCTAACGTATTTTCTAACGATTATGGAAAATAAGATGATTTTATATTATATATTAATAATTATCAGGTGATTATTACAATTTGGAAAAACACTCTTAAATTTATGGCGAACAAAACTTTGAGTTCATATTTTGAAATTAGTTATAATAAAGTGTAGCCTGCCATTAAAATGAGCATGGAGATAAATTGTCCGAAGACACAGTTAAAAAATATCCCTGGCTGTGGTGATATGGTTAATTTTGGATGGAGAGGTTACTAGTAACCAACTGCTGCTGGTAAGGTTAACAGGGACCAACTGCTGCTGGTAAGGTTAACAGGGACCAACTGCTGGCAAGGTTAACACGTTGACTACGATTGCTTCATCTTATACTATTATTTCATTTTTTTGTACTGTTCTTAAACAGGGTTGCAAGACGGTAATTTTTTCCGGACAAATTCCGTGATTTAGTTTTTCTCAATTACGTTGGCCGGCTAAAATTTATGATAAGGGTACTTCCTAATTGAATTTTAAATACTGCAAATAGAAAATAAATGGAATTTTTATAGCGGAACCTATAAATAAACTAGTATATATTGAGTTATCGGCCTTTTTTGTTCTCGGATTTGGGCCATTTGGCCGATTTTAGGCAACCTGAATTGCCTGAAATTCCGATTTAAGGCAACTGACCAACTGCTGCTGATAAGGTTAACGGGGACCTACACTTTCAATTCATTTTATTGTTTATGCAACCTATAAACCATGCACAATTCATACAGTATATGCACAACCTATATACTGTATAACAGCAATCTAAACACTACACACAGTCTTTGAAGTTCCTATAGCCATCCACTGTACAAGTGTTACACACAGCATATAGAGTATTTGCAACCCGTGGCACATTAACAATATAAACACTACACATTGCACATTGCAGCAGGTTGTATGTACTTATACAGTACATATAACCCACATATGGGGTTATATGTATATTATTTAATATATATACAACCCCTATAATTTTCTTATTTTTTTTTCTCAAAAAGTCGAGTTAGATTTTTCATTGATGTTGGTACATTGAAAATTATGTTTCCGAATGATATTTTCATTATCTAACGACGTTTCAAACGTAGCAATTAACATTCATTATCAAGTTACAGGACACATTAAGTAATGAAATTTAAATTGACGTATATATAAAATCTTGTAAATTGGATATTACTCAAAAATTAGATTTCGATGGAAATAAATATGAAACCACGAGAATGAAATAATGCTTGAAAACAGGAGTCCAAATATTATTAAGAAAACAGCCTCAATGTTCTGAAAAATTCAGCACTTAAAAGCTTGATAACCTGAGTCCTATCTAAATAATGAGGGCCTACGTCGGGGCATCGCATGACAACACATTCTCCCAGCACCGAACGAGTGATGGTCTCGTTGTGGGCCTCCATCAGGTGGTTCCTTGGTCCTCCTGACTGAGGTGGCACGTGAGACGTCGATGTTGTTCAGAAGGATAGATTCAAGGATCCGTTCGTCTGCTTTATAACCGATGCTCATTTGATTCTCGTAGTAATTGCGGTTTCGACAAGACGGACTTGTCAGAACTTCGAGGCTGTTTTCCTGATGATTTTTGGACTCCAAATTTCAGGCATTATTTTATTTACGTGATTATATATTTATTTCCATTGAAATCTAATTTTTTAGTAATATCCAATTTACACGATTTTGTACTTGCGTCTATCTATATTTCATTACTCATTGCGTCCAGTAACTTGATAACGAATGTTGTTTCATTCGAAACGTCGTTAAAATTATAAATATCTCATTCGGAAACCAGATTCTCAATCGATTAACGCCTACTTTAAATCTAGTTCGACTGAGAAAACCAAGAAGAAAATTATAAATAATGCTCACTCTCTGATCTGCACCTAAACTTGTCTAAATATGAACAAATCTTTTCATCCTATACCAACAACCCACACAACACACACAATTCATATTGCATATACAACTCATACAGCTCACATAACTCACACAGTACACACAACTCACACAGCACACACAACTCACACAGCACACGCAACTCACACAGTACACACAACTCATACAGCACACACAACTCACACAGCACACACAACTCATACAGCACACACAACTCACACAG